GAGATGAGGGAAGAGAGCCTTTTGCTTTGTCTGCCTGCCTTTCTGGCCAGTGAATGTGAAGCAGCACATTTTATCTTACTGATTTTAATTAATCTTATTGCCACTAAAACATAAAGAAGGCTAAAATTTAGACTGTCAATTTTAACATTTCCATGACAGTGATGGCTAAACAGTGGTTTTTAGGTCAATGTTAAAGGTTATCTACATACTTCTAAGGAAGCAGGCAAAATTAAAAATGCAGATTTTAAAAAGTACGCCAAATAAGTTAGAATATATGGTCATGAGCCTGTGAGTCAAAACTAGCAAAGCTATAGACCTTTACCCTTGTTTTTAGAAAATAAAATTGGAACCCCTGTGTTACATTCCCCTCCCACTCCTTTCCCTTCCTTCCTTAGATGCATCCCGCCTCGTAAATTTTGTGTGCGTCGCTGCACGTCCCATAACTTTCTCTAGCAACGAGAGCAGTGGCAGCCAGCGTGGCACTTCGTGGTGCAGGCGTTGCTGCAAGAGTTTGTAGATAGTAACTCACATGATCCTCAAAATAACCAAACAGCAAGTATGGTTGTTGTTTTCATTTCACAGATGAAGAATTCGAAGCACAGAGAGGTTAAACAACTTCCCAAGGCCACACAGCCAGGACCGGCGGAGCCAGCGCTCTGGTCCGCGTGTGCTCTTGACGGGGTGCGCACGTCTGGACTCACTACTAGAAAATGGCCGCTGTGTGTCTGGAACAGGTGGTGTTCTGTGCAAGCCCGTCCTTTGGTTTCAGTACATGTTGCCGTTTGTAGTTCCAACAACATGACATTTTCTTGAAACGTTTTTGATATTTGTCTTTTTGACTCAGACCTACTGTGCTTTGCTGCTCTGTGTACTGTGTCGTTCCCGTGTGGGGCGATTGTGTATTTCCCTGCTGTGATCAGTTTATCCCTGGTGAACACCTCTCAGCAGGCACAGGGACCGCATGTATTTGTGATGAGAATTTTAGATCCACTCTCTTAGTGGATTCGATTTTTAACTGTTAAAAAATTGAATTCCAGTGCAGTTAAGACACAGTGTGATACTAGCTTCCGGTGCAGAATACCGTGATTCGACAGCTCCATGCGGCACCCTGAGTTCATGGTGTCAGGTGCCCTCCTGCCCCCCACACCTGTTTCCCCCCTCCCCCCCACCTCCCCTCTGGTGACCGTCCCCCCTCTCCCCTCCCCTCTGGTGACCATCACTTCTCTAGAGCTAAGTCTAGTTCTTGGCTTGTCTTTTTTTCTCCTTTGTGTCATTAGTTTTGTTTCTTAAATTACACACATGAGTGAAATCATATGGTATTTGACTTTCTCCGACTTATTCACTAGCATTATACTTTCCAGCTGCATCCGTGTGTTGCAGATGGCAAGGTTTCATTATTTTTATGACTGAGTAATATTCCATTGTATATATAAATACCACATTCTCCTTATCCATCCACCACCTGACAGACATTTGGGCTCTTTCCATCGTTTAGCTGTTGCAAATAATGCTGCCGTAAACCTCGGGTGTGTGTATCCTTTTAGATTAGTGGTTTTGTGTTCATTGCGTAAATACCCAGTAGAGCGACTCCTGAATCATTCGGTGTTTCTGTCTTCAGTCTTTCGAGGAACGTCTCCGCTGTCTTCCACTGGCTGTACCAGTCTGCATTTCCACCTTCCTTTTTCTCCGCACCGTCCCCAACACCTGCTGTTTCTTGTGCCATTCTGACAGGTGTGAGGTGCTATCATGGTTTTGATTTGTATTTCCCTGATGAGTGGCATCTTCCCTGTGTCTGTTGGTCATCTGGATGTCTTCTCTGGAGAAATGTGTGTTCATGTTCTCTGCCCATTTTTAAATTGGACTATTTGCATTTTGGGTGTTGAGTTGTATAAGCTCTTTATGTGTTGTGGATACTAATCCTTTATCAGGTATGTCATGTGCAAATACTATCTTCTCCCATTCAGTAGGTTGTCTTTTAGTTTTGCTGGTTGTTTCCTTCACTGTGCAGAAGCTTTTTATTTCTTTTTTTTTTTTTAATTTTTTTTAATGTTTTACTTCTGGGAGAGAGAGAGAGAGACAGCGTGAGCAGGGGAGGGTCAGAGAGAGAGGGAGTCACAGACTCTGAAACAGGCTCCAGGCTCTGAGCTGGCAGTCAGCACACAGCCCGACGCGGGGCTCGAACCCACGAACCGCGAGATCATGACCTAAGCGAAAGTCGGACGCTTAACTGACTGAGCCACCCAGGCGCCCCGGTCTTTAATCCATTTTAGGTCTATTTTCGTGTCTGGTGTAAGCAAGTGGTCCAGGTTCATTCTTCTGCATGTTGCTGTCCAGTTTTTCCAGCACCATTTGTTGAAGCGACTGTCTCTTTTTCCACTGTATATTCTTTCTTCCTTTGTTGAAGATTAGTTGACCCCATAGTTGTGGGTTAATTTCTGGGTTTTCTATTCTGTTGATCTGTGTGTCTATTTTTGTGCCAGTACATACTGCTTTGATGATTACAACTTTGTAATTTACCTTGAAGTCTGGGATTGTGATGCCTCTAGCTTTGCTTTTCTTTTTCAAGATTGCTTTGGCTATTCAGGTTTTTTTCTGGTTCCATACAAATTTAGGATTGTTTATTCTAGGTCTGTGAAGAATGTTGGTGGCGTTTTGATAGGGATTGCATTAAATCTGTGGATTGCTCTGGGTAGTACAGACATTTTAACAATGTTCTTCCAATCCATGAGCGTGGAATGTTTTTCCATCTCTTTGCACCCTCTTCAGTTTCTTTCATCAGTGTTTTGTAGTTTTTAGAGTACAGGTCTTTCATCTCCTTGGTACGTTTATTCCTAGGTATTTTATTTTTTTTGGTGCAGTTGTAAATAGGAGTTTTTTTTTAAGTTTATTTATTCTGAGAGAGTGCGAGCGTGAGCACATGTGAGCAGGGGAGGGGGGGAGAGAGAGAGAATCCCAAGCAGGCTCCATGCTGTCAGCTCGGAGCCTGATGTGGGGCTCAATCCCAGGAACCATGAGATCATGACCTGAGCCGAAATCAAGAGTTGGACACTCGACCGACTGAGCCACCCAAGTGCCCCCAGGATTGCTTTTTAAATGTCTCTTTCTGCTGCTTCATTATTGGGGTATAGAAATGTAACGGTTTTCTGTACATTGACTTTGGATCCTGTGACCTTATCGAATTCGTTGGTTTTAGTAGTTTTTTGGTGGTGTCTTTAGGGTTTTCTATATGTAGTATCGTGTCCTCTGTAAATAGTGAAAATTTTAGTTCTTCCTTACCAATTTGGATGCCTTTTGTTTCTTTTTGCTGTGTGATTGCTGAGGCTGGTACCTCCAGGGCTGTGTTGGATAATGAGTGGGAGTGGACACCCTTGTCTTGTTCTGGCGGAACAAGTGCATATGATGTTGGCTGTGGGTTTTTCATATCCAGCCTTTATTATGTTGACGTGTTTCCTCTAAACCTACTTGATGAGAGTTTTTATCATGAAGGGATGTTGCACTCTGTCAGATGTTTCTTCCGCATCTGCTGGGATGATCATATGGTTCTTAACCTTTCTCTTATTGATGTGATGTATCACAGTGATTGATTTGTGACTGTTGAGTCCCGCTGCAGCCCGGGAGTGAGTCCCACTTGATTGTGGTGCAGGATTTTTTAATGCACTACTGGATTTGGTTTGCTAGAATTTTGTTGGGGATTTTTGCCTCTATGTTCATCAGGGACATTGGCCTGTAGTTCTTTTTTTTCTGTAGTGTCTTTATCTGGTTTGGGTATTGGGGTGATGCTGGCCTCATGGAATGAGTTTGGAAGTTTTCCTTCCTCTTTTATCTCACAGGACATTTCAAAGATGATTTCAGGTGGTGTTTGCACACATATTGTAATGACCAAAGGAAGGTGGGTGTGTTGTGACAGCTTTGAGTCAGTAAAGAAGCGTTGGAGGTGGACCGAGTCCTGGGGACCCACGCCTCCCGGGAAAGAGGCGGGCGCCCCTACATTTGACCAGCTTAGTTCTCTCCCATTAAACACACGTTGGCATTTTTGGTGGGTGCTCCCGCTTGACGAGCCAGCTGGGAAATGGAGTATTGAAGTGGGAAGGTCAGCCTATACCTACTGTGTCTTTCTCAGGCAGTGTCATGGGGTGAGTGTGTCCACCCAGTGCCTTGGACTGTGAGCTAACTTGGATATAATTAGTTAAGGTGAGGTTGTTCTGAAGTAGGGTGTCCAGTATTACTGGGGTCCTCATAAGAAGGGGACACTGGGACCTAGGCTTCCAGGGCGTAGGTGGGTGAGCATGACTGCCAGCCACCAGCGGAAGCAGGGAGAGGCCTGGACCCTGGAGCCCGCGAGGGAGCTGGTCTTGGCCTCTGAGAGCCTCCAGCTGCGTGAGAATCTGGTTCTCTGAGCCCCTGGCCTGGGGCACGGGGTTCTGGCCATCCTGGGGAGCTGACACGGCAGCAGAGACGAGAACGTGGTGGACATGCTGGGGGGGGGGGGGCCGTGGGCGGACCAGAGGGCCTTCCATCGGGAGCCGCGGGTACCTTGTGCTCTGCCCCTGCACGCCTCCTCTCTCGGGCTGGTTTGAGCTAGAGTTTTGGAAGCTGTGAGGTCTGCTTCCAGGCCTTTCTGCTCTGCTGTTTGTGTTGTTTGTGTAGGAAGCCTTTGCTTTGTCTTTAAAGATACGTCCTCAGGGGTGAGGGGCGTCTCCCCTGGATCTGCATTTGGGGAAGACTGTCGCTTCAGCAGCTGATGGCCGTTTGCCTTCTTGGTGGACCATGTGGTGTTTGTTCCAAGAGGCAGATGTGGGGCTCTGTTCGGAACCCCGTGTCCCTTGTGGCCGTGGTCAGCGCGGAACCCAGACCTCCCGCCCGGTGGCCGCTCTGACGTGGCCGGAGGCACAGGCCCCTGCTGTCTCCTCCGCCCACACGCAGCGGCCCGGCGCTCCGCCTGCCCCCCACGGGCGTTTCTGTTGGCCGCCCGGGTAACTGTGCTGTTCTTGCCCCCACAGAGTCTGTAGAGGAGCAGCAGCAAGGCTTCCAAATGAACAACCGCAGGGAAGACATGGAGATCGCGTCCCACTACCGGCACCTGCTCCGGGAGCTCAACGAGCAGCGGCAGCACGGGGTCCTGTGCGACGTGTGCGTCGTGGTCGAGGGCAAGGTCTTCAAGGCGCATAAGAACGTCCTGCTCGGCAGCAGCCGCTACTTCAAGACGCTGTACTGCCAAGTGCAGAAGACGTCTGACCAGGCCACGGTCACGCACCTGGACATCGTCACGGCGCAGGGCTTCAAGGCCATCATCGACTTCATGTACTCTGCCCACCTGGCCCTCACCAGCAGGAACGTCATCGAGGTGATGTCTGCCGCCAGCTTCCTGCAGATGACGGACATCGTGCAGGCGTGCCACGACTTCATCAAGGCCGCGCTGGACATCAGCATCAAGCCCGACGCCTCGGACGAGCTCTCCGAGTTCGAGATCAGCGCCCCTCCCGGCAGCAGCACGGACGCACTCATCTCGGCCGTGATGGCGGGAAGGAGCATCTCCCCGTGGCTGGCCCGGCGCACGAGTCCCGCCAATTCTTCTGGAGACTCGGCCATCGCGAGCTGCCACGAAGGCGGCAGCAGCTACGGGAAGGAGGACCAGGAGCCCAAGGCTGACGGCCCCGACGACGTGTCCTCGCAGTCGCTGTGGCCCGGGGACGTGGGCTACGGGTCTCTGCGCGTCAAGGAAGAGCAGATCTCCCCGTCTCATTACGGAGGGAGCGAGCTGCCTTCCTCCAGGGACGCGGTGATGCAGAACTCTTTCTCAGAGCAGGCTGCCGGGGACGGCTGGCAGCCCACAGGTCGCAGGAAGAACCGGAAAAACAAAGAGACGGTCCGGCACATCACACAGCAGGTGGAGGGCGACAGCCGGGCCGGCTCCCCGGCCACCCCCTTCCTTCCGACGTCCGGGTGGCCGTTCGGCGGCCGCGACTCAAGTAAGCCTTTTGTTCTCACAGGCAGGGCCCAGACGCCGTGTGTGTTCGCGGCCCCACGGCTGCTTGTGCTGCAGGTGAAGCCGCACCTTCCAGCCTCCCGCCAGGGCCTCCCGCGGGCCAGCCTCCTTTGGCGGCAGATTGTGCGAGCGCAGGGAGTGTGACTCCGGGTGCCCGGTCAGCACGGTGCCGGTGTCACTGGTGCGCGAAGCCGCCTTACGTAGGGCTTCTCTACCGCCGAGGGGTCGTGGCTGGAAGAGTGGGTGACACGTGGTGTGGGCTCACTTTGAAGGATCTGCTTTCCCTTCTCCAGGGAGCCTTTCGTAAACACTGCTTAGGAGAACTTAATTTTAAAAGGTTTAAACGTGAAAATACTAAAAGGTGCAAAAGTGCTTTAGGTGAGGTGATGGGAAGGTGGGACAGGACCTCCCCCCCCGACCCCGGGCCCTCACTGTCCCCTGGCCTCAGCTCTGGATTTTCTGTTCCGCATACTTGGGTTTTGGTTGTTGTTGTGAGTGTTGAACAGGCAGTCGTGCACACCTGGTTTGTCCCTGGTGAAAAGCTTGACTTCCCCTGGCGGCGGGGGTGGGGGGGGGCGTGAAGGCTTCTGGCTCAAACCCCCCCCTTGCAAGGACGGATGTTTCCTTGTTTCCAACAAGTGTGGGTCCAGTGGTTCAAACTAATACATGTGTTTTTTTCTTGCTGTGCAGGGGGGGTGGGGGAAGGTGAGCACGTGTCAGGTTCAAGGTGGCTCTAAGCTCAGCTTTGCTGAAGCTGGTCCTCACACTCTGGATGACGGATTTGTGTCTGTCTCCCAGACTCGTGGATGACACTCCGGGCACCCTGATGGGGCCGGGCGCCGTTACCCCAGCCCTTCAAGGAGGCAGACGGGGGAGCAGGCTCCCTCCACCCCCAGCCCAGCCCCAGGCGCCCTGGGGTCCAGAGGGTGAGGAAGAGCACTCGCCGGAGCAGAGTTGGTCCAGAGCAGGACGGAGGCGAGGCTTCTTAGCAAGTTTTCGTCTTGCGCAGGCCCCTCCAGTAAGGTCAGAAATCAACCTAGAACGTGAGAACAGACAGAGGTGAAGGCAGAAAAGGGTCATAGCCCTGAGAAGTGTCACAGTTGTTTGCGGGGAAGCGGGAAGCTTCCTGGGCAGGGCGGGCAGGGCCCCTGGACATTCCTGGCTCCCACTCTCAGCCCCTGTGCTTTGGCTTTTGTCATTGTAGTGAGATATATATGCCATGACCTCTACTGTTCTGTTTCTGAGTGTATAATTTGTTGGGATAAATACATTCACATTGTCACGCAGTCATCATTACCATTTATCTTCATCCCAAACTGAAACTCTGTGCCCATTAAACAGAACCTCCCCAAGACGCACTGTCGCTGTCACTCTCTGCCGCTGTGTGTTCCCAGCCTGAAGCACAGGGCCACACCCCTGAATGCTCACTACGGGCTGGGTGAACCACAGCCTTTCGACCTCGGGCTGGATGACTCACTGCCGTGGGGGCGTCCCGGGCACCCTAGGGCAGCAGCATCCGTGGCCTCGTCCACCAGATGCCGGTAGCCACCCACCCCTAGTTTGGTGACATCCAGAGTGTGTCCAGACGTGGCAGCACCCCAGAATAGCTGGAGATTCGCCAAAGAAGGTGGTTACGTTTCTGAGCTGCTGGAAAAGCCCTCTCCCTGCCGGCTGTCCGTAGGAGGGAGCACCCCGTGTGCGCCAGGCTTCGTCTCCCACCAGCTCTGACTCAAATCTGAGAAGCTGTCAGGGTGCATGACCCGAGGACAGGCACTTTGTCTTCGGGGGGGTCAGGGCCGCAGTCCTGTCCGGGTGAGTCCAGTGCTGGGGGTCGTGAGCCGCCCAGCAGGCCGTGACACCGGAGGCCTTGAGGCCCCTCTGCACAGTCAGGAGTGTGCGCTGCTCAGGCCTGGAGGTTTGAGGTTTTGAGTGCAGTAGTCAAGCAGAAGGCGTTTTTAGAATCCAACAAGTGATTTCGACCAAGGAGTTTTGTTAATGTCTTAAATCCCTTGGGTTTCCAAGGCAACTGAGAACGGCTTCTGTTAGATCATTCGGAGTTGCTGCAGCAAGGACGTGGGGTTGGGGCTCGTGTAGGATGGTTTCTGCCCTCTGGTGGTTTATTCCTCTCCCCTGGCCCTGGGGCTGGGTTCCGAAGCTCAAATTGTGATCCCCAGTGCGGGCCAGTTTGTTTTCACTAAAGATTTATTACCTCTTAGTGAAGAATACTTCTAAATTCTCCTATTTGCAGGAGAGAAGGCTGTTCCAGAAGAATGTGTCAGGTTTTTGCCGATCACTCAGTGCAGGTGCTCAGGTACCCAGTTCTGCAGCCTGGCCTGTGTCCCCACTTTGGCTGGTGGTGATTCCGAGGCCTGTTAGCATTTAAGAGGGATTGTTCTGAGCAAAAGGTCAAGAGCGTTCTAACCCAGCGGCCTTCAAGAAGGTGTCATTGGAATTCACTCGTGAGTTACGGTCGTTTGCACGGCGGCTCGTGGGAAGTGGCGTACACGCGCGAGGGAGGTTGCACGTCCTCGGCCGCGTGCTCCTCGGGCCCTGGCCTCCCCACCTCGCATGCGATCCCAGACCCCCAGGAGGCGGGTCCGTAGCTGCTGGTTCCAAAGCCCAGGGGCTTGTCCTAATGTCCCACATACGCTCTAAAAGGTTTTGCCAAAAAAGAGAGTTCTGGAGCCGGAATAAAATGGGTCTATTTTGTAGAGTAAATGTTTGAACCTGAACCTTTGTGAAGTTGGAGCTTGACACAGTTCGGGCGGGTGAAGGTGGGCTCCCCGCCGGCCACTCGCACCCTTGCAGCCTCTCTCCTGTGCAGGGAGGGGGCAGGAACTCAGGTCCCTCAGGTCCACAGTTGTTGCGGGGGCTCAAGTGGGAGCCACCAAGCCGGCTCTGCGAGAGGGGGAGGGGAGACACCCCCCCCGCCCGTCCTGAAGCACGTGAGGGCGCGGAAGGACTTGTCCGAGAAGCTGTGAACCATGCGAGTTTGTGTGAGTTACCCCGCGTGGCGGGTGACCTGACCGCGGGCGTGAAGGCTGAAGCGAGCGCCCGGCACCCTGGTTCTCCCGTCACTCGGTCCACTTCCGCGACAGGGCGCCTTTCCGCTGCCAACGGTCCAGCTCAGCGTGGTATTCTGATTTTTGGGTAAAAGAGCCCGGCTGAGGAGCGGCAGCGCAGATCTTCGGGGCTGGGACTGGACCTGCCTCCCAGCACCCGGACGGATGGGCCTGTTCCCGAGACCAACTGTCGCCCCCCTACCCTTCACCCCTCCCTCAAGAGGTGGAGCGCCACCGTAGCCGCCGCCGCCCCGTTTCCCCTTCTGATCGGAGCTGAGCCGTGTGGAGCCGGTTCTGGTTGGCCCTTTGCTGTCTGGCCGGTGGCAAGCGGCGCCCTCGTGGTTGGGGTTTGGGTGAGAGCGCGGAGCCCGGCGGCCGCGCCAGGAGGTGGCGGGTGGGAAACGCTGGCGACCCGGGGCCGGCTGAATGGGAGCACGAGCCGGCCGCCTGCGGGGTGGGGTCTGCTTGGAAGGGGGCCGCGTGCCTGGGGCTCATGCCCGGTGACCTTTGGCTCATCCATGCTCAAGGCCATACTTTTGAATCGCTGTCCTGATTCAAGACCCTTACGAGCTCGGCTTCGCTGAGCCGCTGGCGTAGCTCACATGCAGGCGCTCCGTTTGCGCCTGGATTTTCTAGAGCATCGGGTTAGTGAAGGATGAGCCCTTAGGCTCTCACGGGCACCCTGCTCCGCCTCCCCCGGCTGGGTGCTGCTGAGTGCCTTGTCCCCACGGGTGCCCAGTGGGGCTGGGAGGACGTCCCTCCTGGAGCCACTCTGTGGATGAGCTGCAGTGTGTCCTGGGCTGATGCGGGACAAGGCAGGCCACGTCGTGAGGCTGTGCCAGGCCGGAGCCGGAGGAGGAGGTGCTTTCTGGAAGCCCCGGGAGCCGGGCAGCACTCCAGGCTTGGGCGACACAGGGAGCCCAGCACAGGCTTGCACTCGGGATCCCCGAAGTGGGGGAATCTCAGTGGAATGTGCCTGAGTTGGTGTGAGGAGTCGGTGATCCCAGCCTGTGGGATGTGTTTTTGCGGGGCGTGTGAGCACCTGGTCGCGCTCTAGGGTTGTGCGGAAAGGAGCCCGTCCCGCGCCGAGTGCAGGGGCCGTGCGGCAGCTTCACGGAGCTCGAGTTCCCGGGCCGCGTCCCCGCCGTGTCCGAAGCCAGCCTCCGCCGCTCTGTGGTTGGTTCGCAGACGTGCAGCCGCCTCACTGGGTCTCAATTTGAACTTGAGGGCTTTTGTTTTCTTTCACCAAGTACTTATTTTCTTTCGGTGTTGTGGACCGTGACAGTGATGCCCCCAGAGTGAGTGAAGGGTCTCCCGGCTTGGGGTGGGGACCAGACCTGGGCGGCCCGACTGTGTGGCGCTGCCCCCACCCCCAGGCGTCGCCTCCCAGCGAGGAGGAGGGGCTTGGCTGGGACCCACGGGGTAGGACGTAAATGCACTGCTTGTGAACTTCCATTTAAATGGAGATTTTTAAGAGGAGCAGTGTTATTTTAAAGTGTTCATTTGAAAATTTTTATGCCACTGCTTTTTTCAAAGTTATAAAAAAGCTGAGGTAGAAGCTGCACACCAGAACAGGGCAAACCCCTGAGTGCCGAGCTGGCTAACGTGACCGAGCTGCCCCCCGGGAGCCCCTCACGGTCGTCCTGGGGACGCCTCTCCCTGAGGTCGCCGCATGCCGTCTGGCCTCCGCGAGCCGCCTGCTGTGGGATGAAGCCACACCGCGCCTCCCCACGCGTGTGGGCTCCGCCACGTGAGCGCACACCGTCGACTCCTCGTGTCCGTGTGTACGGCTCTGCCGCCTCTGGCTTGAGCCGTGACAGTCCGTGCTGCACACCCCGTGTGCTCCGTCCAGCGTGTAGTGCAGGCGCTTCTGGGGCGCGTGAGCTTCCTACAGCTGCCGCGAGAAGGTACCACGCGCCCA